CTCTCGTACAACCTCAAAGTAAGTACTTAATTTTGGATGTTACTTGTAGCTGACATTATAGTATTTATAATGTCTTCACTTCAGTGAAACTATCACATTTATTGATTCAATGTAGTCTTGTAACAACAAATTTGGTAAACCTTGCATACCTTATAACACAAACTGACCCACAAATTGGGTAAGCCTTGCATACCATAGAACCCAAACTGATCCCACAAATTGGGTAAACCTTGCATACTTTATACCCAAACTGATCCCACAAATTGGGTAAACCTTGCATACCTTAGAACCCAGACTGATCCCACAAATTGGGTAAACCTTGCATACCTTATAACCCAAACTGATCCCACAAATTGGGTAAGCCCTGCATACCTTAGAACCCAAACTGATCCCACAAATTGGGTAAACCTTGCATACCTTAGAACCCAAACTGATCCCACAAATTGGGTAAACCTTGCATACCTTAGAACCCAAACTGATCCCACATATTCGGTCTGTGCATTCCATTGCATCTTCATGTAACCTGTGTATAATTTTTTTTACAGATCATTAACATCAGATTTTACAGTTCACTTTGGTGATATTTTTAATATACAAATAGTACAGTGGCCAGAAAACATCAGATTAGAAGTGAGTATCGCATGTATTGGTTGGTTAACCTGTATACATTGATATTGTACAAATTATTTCTATCCATATTAGATTGTGTAATCAGCAACTATTTGTGATGTTTACACACTATATAAAGTTGTGTTAACAAATATATTTAGTTTGTATTCTTTGACGTATGACATTGTATGTTCCATATACCCAATGAAACAATAACAGTATTCACAAGATGGGTGACCATGCCAAGCATTTCTGTAGATTGAGCTATGATTAAGTATTCAGCATCTTAAAATATCTATCAGGTCCATTGTGAAGCATTCCTTGTAGGATTCATTTGTGATTAACTGCTGTCTTTTATGTGTTCCTGTGCCATTAGATTCCTTTCTTTTTAACCATTTCACCATAAGTTCCCTCTTTTCATCACAAATTAATTCACAATATAGTCTATTTTATAGTCTGCACTTTTCTTTAGAGGAATTGGCACAAAATAAGACAATTTTTTGAGTAAAAACTTATAGATTAATTTTGTCTGTTGGTTCCAAAATTAGGGTTCATTCCCAGAAATATTAAACTGACACACAGGCTGGCCTAAAACAAATTATTTATTTTTATTTCAATTTTATTGTAACCATGATTATCACTTAACAATGCATTATAGGTGGTGGAAAGCAGTGGATTTTCAAGTACAGTTTTAGCTCAAGTATTTATAGCTATTCCTGATGCACAAGTGACCTCAAAAAATGTACAAATTGAAGAATTAGAGTTCAGTAGTGATCAGAAAGTTGCATTCAATCATCAAGGTGTTGGTAGTGGTATGTATTTATTTATTAGTTCTTAATATTTATTGTGTCTGTGTGTCCATATATGTAAACAATAACTGTATAGTACTGCCATATTTAGTATGAAAGTTTTACTAATGTAGAAGCCTACTAATGAATCCAAATACTCCAATAAATTGTCCTTCCTGGCAATGTAAGGACTTGATAAAAGTTGGGGGCTCACCAGTGACCACCCTAACTGGTATTTTAGTGTATATTGGCCATTTTGTCAGTATTATAATGTTTTTACCATAGGTTTCTATGGAAGAGAAGTTATGGTGACAATAAAAATTATATATTGTGAATGATGGGGTACTTGTTGTTGCCTTCAATTATTTCAAAAATCTGGGTATAGCTCCAGCATTTTCACTTTGGTATTAATTACCTAATTTGCATAATTAATTAATTTTCAGCTTTTGATATAAGTAGTGAGCATTACATTTCAATGAAACTTGGTACTTACATACTCGAGGACTATGCAGAGATTGATTGGTTCGGATAAATATTTGTGCATATTAATCACCTAATTTGCATAATTAGTTAATTTTCAGCTTTTCCACAGGTATTTCAAGTACTAATCATCGCATTTCAATGAAACTTGGTACATAGATCCTTTAGGACTATGCAGAGACCTGATTAGTTTCAGGGTAAATAATTGTGCATATTAATTACCTAATTTGCATAATTAATTTTCAGCTTTTCTACTGATATCTAAAGTACTAATCATCACATTTCAATGAATCTAGAATTATGCAGAGACCCAATTAGTTTTTGGTAAATATTTGTGCATATTAATCACCTAATTTGCATAATTAACCAATTTCCAACTTTCACACTGATATCTCAGGTAC